TTTTCAAGCACTTGTTTTATTATTTTCTTGTAAAAAACGTGGGAAATCACGGTAAATTTCTTGCTGCTCTTATTGTTTTGTTTTGCACAGGCATGCTGTTTATTAGGTTTTGCTTGCTTTATTAGTTGAATTGTTTCCGTTCACTTAAGCGCCAAACAAAGATAACAACAACAATTGCCCAGATCAGGTTGTTAGTTGTTGCTAAAGTCGCGAGCACACACACACATAACACACCTTTGGGGAACAGCTACAAGAAGGAAAAACAAAAAACAAAATAAACAACTGTGACGGTCTTCGTCGTTTGATCGTTGGAACTGGTGAACTGTTTGTTTGCGCGTATATTCGCGTAGAAAAAGTTTAACGAAAAATTACGTAAATTAAGTTGAAATTGTAATACAATACGAAGAGAAAAAAAATGAACGACGACAACAAAACACACAGTAATGGTAGACAACAACTATGTAGACGACGGCGATGATGATGATTATGATGACGAAGTCATTAGGTGGACGATATTATCATTTCAACTGGTTGTTGCAATCAAATGGAATTTAACAAATTTAGTTACCGCGGAAAGGTGGGGAAAACACTTAAAAATATTTTACAATATTGTTTAACTTTCACTTATTTTCATAAAAATAAATATGGTTTGCTACTCATTTTGGCACAAGGGTGGTGTTGTTGTGGTTAGACAATGACAGTCATACTAGTAATGGGTGACATTTGTCATACTACACTTGGGGGGAATAGACAATAATCATACAAAACAAGGGGTAAATGGGGGGATGTTTTTCGTTTTTTTTTTCCTTTCAATAACGGTATCGAAGACAAGTGATTTTACTTTTTTTTGTTAACAAAAAGCAAGTTTTCGTTGTTCTCCACTTCCTGTATTGTGTTCCGCAAGTTGTTGTTGTTGATTATGGCAAATTTTTGGAATGTATTGTAATTATTTCACTTATTGTTTGCACTCTGTGTTTTACATACATATCCTCTTTCACATGCACTTACACCAATACAACTGATTCGCCCAAGAGACAATGTGATGACTCTTCGTAATGATTTCTTTTATTTATATTTTCTTATTTTTTTTTAATATGTAGAACAAAACAAATACGAAAAAATATTGAATAATTTAATTAGAAAATCATCTCATATTGGTTGGCTAACTGATTGACGTACAAACAGGGAGAAAAATAACGTTAACCACTAAAATTATAAACTGATACTACCCGACTTTGACAAAATACGTGCGTACAAGTCGCCGAGAACAGGGATACTTAGGTCGACTTGTGATTAGTCGCCTAAAAACCGAAAAGTTCGCAAATTGATTAATCGATTTTTGGCTGTTATCGACACTATCGGAAAAATTTGCATAAGAAATTAATCTTTTAATTTACGCTAAGTTCCGACAAGCCTCGTCTCGCGCTAGACCAATATCCGTTTGTGTTAAAATTACAAATGGAAATTAATTTTTAAAACAAAATGTCTGTTTCCGAACCAGAATTAATAGATCTGTACTGAAAGAATCCACTAGTTTTTACAACTTTTTCGATATCATATAGGAAAATTTGTTATCATGATAAAAAGTAGTAGATTCGTAAATTTAAAACTTTTTACTACGATAATAATTGATGATGTTGAAAAAATATTACAAATTAATAGGTTTTTGCAGGACGAGAACATACTAAAGGTAATTAAGGAGGAGTACATATATTTTATGATATGTTCCCGACCTCAAGAAACTACTAGATTTTACTATTTTCTTCGATATCATAAAGGAAAATTCGTTATCATAGTAAGAAGTAGCAGATTCTTGCAGTACGGGAACAGGACATTAACCAATGAAAAGAAATTTTGAATTACCTGACTAGATTTGACGTAAATTAGTAATAATATTGAAATTAAGCTCCAAAAATATGATTATGAAAATATGCCAGAAATCTTTTAATAATTCCTGATATGTAATGAGGTTATAAATCTGTTGCAGAACCTGCAAAAAGATACAACTTTACACCACGATACAAATCTGTTCTTCGAAAAAATATTTTTTTAAGTAAAATTTTGGCCTTGAATTTTTTAAAAATAAATTTTAAGTGCAATTTTAGGCGTTGGTTTTTTAGAAATAGCTTTAAAGTAAAAATCTAAAAATTGGAATGTGTCAAAATATTTTTTTTAAGTAAAATTTTAAGAGTGGTCTTTTTAAAAATAATTTTCAAGTAAAATTTTTGTCATGAATTTTCTGAAACTATTTTTAACCAATATTTTAGGTGTGGATTTTAAATTTTTTTTAATTAATTTTGCAAAATTTTAATTTAAAAAAAATAAGTAAACTTATTTTGATTTGGATGTAAATTTTTTAAAAATATTTTTTTTTTTCAAATGGTACATTTTTTAAAAATACTTTTTTTCAAATAAACTTTTGAGGTTGGATTTATGTGTGGATTTTTTAAAAAATACCTTATTCAAGTAAATTGTACCGCTTTATAAGTGGACATTTTAAAAATACTTTTTTCAAGTACAATTTTAAGGTTGGATTTAGGCGTGGATTTTTTAAAAATACTTTTTCCAAGTAAAATTTAAGTCCTGGATTTAGGCGTGAGTTTTTTAAAAATATATGAAAATTTACTATTTTTACTTTTTTCATGAAAAATAGTAGTCGTGGAACTTTTAAAAATTACTTTTATCAAGACACGGATATTTTGAAATATGTTTATACACACACCTTCGTATAAACATGGTCTACAAATACTAAAGCTAAATAAAGGGAAATCGTACAACAATTCGTATAACAAAACGTACGTACAATACAAAGCTGTTATCAATATGGCAACGTTAAAAAGTATCATAAAAAAAGCTCCCATAAACAACAACAAACAACAGCTGCATGAATTTTGGCATATTGTTTTGTTTACATACTTGTTTAGGAACGCCAAATTATTTGTTGAATGTGAGTTTTTCCTTTTGTAGATATAAATAATTAATAAACTATTAAACATAATTATTTAAATTTTCAGATGCGTAAACGTGAACTGCAAAGTATACCCCTTAAATTGGCCGAACTAAAGGAATATGATAATGCCAAGGCTGAAAGATTGCTGAACAAAAGTAGAAATTCATCGGCCGGTGAAAGCAGTACGTCCAAAGAACCATCACCCATAGCTAATGTAGGACCAAAAACCAAAAAAGAAATCCAAGAACGTTTAAATACTACAATGTAGTTGAAGATAAGAAACAAAAATATATTTTATACTATTGAATAGTTAAGGAAACAGCGATGGAGGTTTTGTTTTTTTCGGTGAATTAAGATGGTAGTGGTTGTTGCTTGTAAAACTACGATAAGAAAATTTTAAATGGTGTGGAAATATAAATGTGAACTCGGATTATTTGAAAACGAATGTCCTAATTATGAATGCTGTATTCTAGCATTGCCTTTAAGCAGTTGAATTATGGTCAAGAATATACAAATCCATTCTGGATTTTCTTCACACTCTTCATAAATTAAAAAAAAACTGAAGCATACTTGTAGGCGTTGGGTATTCATATCTCCATACATATTTGACTGGTTTGGAAGTGTTATAAGATTGTATTGTATGTGAATATTGGGTTAATTTTTTAATTAACAACCCAGTAGAAAGTGTCTTGCAGACAACATTAACGAATCGTGTAAGACAATGTCAATTCCTTGAAGACACTTTGCAGACAACAATGTGAAATCGTTGACGAAATTTTCACACAAGTGTCGCAGTATTCATGCACGACAACTTGGGCGACAGGGTAAGCGAAGTTGTCGTTGACGACAACTTCGGCGACTAATTTCCCTACTTTTCGTTAACGACAGATTCACTTCCTGTCGTTTACACCTTCGATGACTGTATACCTATTGTCATCAATCTTGTCGTCAATCATACCCCATTCAAAATTCAAATAAAAATATATATACATATTTTTCACTTATATTTTTTATAGCATGAAATTTATTATATTACAAAAACATACCTTACATTTACATAATATCATATAATATAAATAAGCCTGAGAACTTGGCGTAATTGATTGATTATCTCAATTTTAACATCATCTGTAAAGAAATGACATAATTAAAATGCATTGGAATATGAAACATCTTTCAGATATTACTTACAATATTTCACCAATTGCCATTTATTTGTCCCATCCTAAGAGTAAAACAATGCATTTAAATAAATATATAAATAATTATAATTTTTTTAAACTTATCTATTTTAACCAAGAAAACACGTCTTCTTTTTCTCAAATTTCGGAAAGAATTTTCATTTCGTTTCTGTCAATATTTCATAGTACACTCGATTCAGACTATTTTTGTTTTGTTTTCATATTTCGAGAAGACCGACATTTTCGACGACATATCATGTGTTTAGTCATGAATGACAATTCCATAAATTTCGTCAACGTTTCGTTAAGGAAATTGTCACGCAAGAGAGTATTTTCTACTGGGAACATTGTTTCAATGAGTTTTGTGACAACCCGATTTTTTTACATTCTTAACCCTTTTATAGGGAATGCAATGAAAAAGCATCTGCATAATTTAATTCAGTTTCTAATTATTAACGTATATACAAATGATCTTTTTATGAAATAAGCAGACATAGAAACCGCATTTTAAATATTGCATATATTTTAATTTATTTGAAAAATATTATTTACAATGATTAAAATATAGAATAACGTGTGTATATATGGATGTTGCTTTTGTTAAACTGGTTGATCACAACTATTAAAATAGGTATAACAAATATTGGATGTCTACTAATTTCACTTTTATTATATATTTATATAATGGGTTATATGTATATGCATAGGTCTATATCATCTTTACTTTTAGGTACACTTTTATTTCAGAATATATATTTTGTTTGAAAGCCTTATAATTTCGACTAAAATAGAAATATATAGAGTTTAAGATTCATACCCAGTTGACGCATTATTCCATTGATATCTGTTGGTCCATTTTCAGCACTGCCTTAAAATCCCAATACGCCCAAGCCCTCACGTAACCTTTGAGGTATATTTTGGTATCTGTAAAAGAATCAAAATTATTGTTGTATCTATTTTTATATCCCCACGTGAGCTTACTTCATTGCCATCTTTCCGCTTAGTGTTTGAGCCACAATGAAGGATAATATAAAACCTTGGCCTAGCATTATGTATGACTTATTAAAAGAACTCAATGGCTTGTCTACAATTGCATCTTCAATGTAGCGAATGTTGCAATTTTCCACTCCTCTGATCTCATTTCTTCTATTTTCAGCGGATAAACGTTCATAGCGGGAGTCTGCTCGTTGAATGCGTTCTTCATTGGTATTTTGGCGATTATTCATTTCGCGTGTTTGACGAGTTTCAACATCCATTGCTCGTCGTAGTACATTTCGCTCGTTGCGTCTGTTAGTGCGTTCTGTATCACGAGATTCAATTCGCCGGTCTTCAATTTGACGAATTCGTCGAGAATCAATTTCCATTGACCGATCAACATTTCTATCTTCATAATCTTCCCTATTGTCTACTCGTCGTTTTAACAGATTCATATCTTCTTGCATGGATTCACGTTCTTGTCTTCCCTCCTCACGCTGGACGCGATCCTCACGAATAATATTGGATACAATTCCATTAGATAATCGTAAATCATCATTCCTACTGCGACTTTCAGAGCGACAATCATGAATTTCACGACGGGACAGAATTCGCTCATCATTACGGCGGTCTTCAACATCACGTCGTTGATCAGGACCAGATCTTTGTGACAGATGTCGTCGTAAGTCACCTTCTCGGCGTCCACGTTCCTGCTGTCTATCATCTTTACGTGCATCTCGAATTTCGCGATCGGTTGTAATGGTTCGTCGTGATACGTCACGCCTTTCTCGTACCTCGCTAATACGAGTGGATACATCTTCATTGAACCACCGTGAATATTCTCGGTCTTGTTCTTCTCTATCATCAATACGTTTATCTAAAATTTCGAATCTCTTGTCAGTAGATCGCCTTGGTTCATCCCGAACTTCGCGAATTCGTCTAGAATCTTCTAAACGGGAGCGTTGTGATTCCAATGGTTCGTAGTCTTTCCTCTCCTGTAGCCTATTTTCCATTTCTTCAACTTCACGAATTCGTTCAGTGTCAGATCGCTGTGATTGAAGTCGTCGTGTAACTTCTTCCCTGCGTTCTCGTTGTTCCTGTCCATCTTCACTGCGTATCTCACGACGGTCTTCAACTTCGCGAACTTGTTCAGTGGCAGATCGTTGTGATTCTAATCGCCGTACGACTTCTTCCCTGTGTTCTCGTGTTTCCTCTCTATCGCCATCGCTTTCATCTCGGATTTCACGTTGCCTATCTTCAGTTCGCTTAGATTCAACTCGTAACCTGCCATCTTTGCGAATACGATTGGATTCATCAACAATAGAGCGACGTGATTCGAATCGTGCATAGTCCCTTGCGTTATCGATACGTTCGTCTCGAATTTCACGTCGTCTATTGCTATCTCGTTGAGATTCAACTCGTAGCCTGTTGTCTTTCTTTCCATCACGCCTTCCTCGGACTTCACGCATTCGATCAGATGCATTTTCATTGCGGTATTCTTCACGTCTAGCCTGTAGAGCTTCGTGTCTCCTGTCGCTAGTTCGCCGAGATTCAGATCGTAAACCATAATCGTTATTCTCATCACGACCTAGGCGTTCTTCACGAATACGATTATTTTCAAAATGCCTTTCTCGAACTTCACGAATTCGATCGGAAATGTTTTCATTAGGGTCTTCCTCTCGTCGATCATCGTTACGTGTACCTAGAGTCTCAGCTCTCCTGTCGTTATTTCGCCGTGATTCAATTCCTAAAGCATATTCGTTTCGTTCTTCGCGAATACGATTGGATTCATCCATATTAGAGCGTCGTGATTGAATTCGTAAAGTGTTCTCTTTGTTTTCATCACGTCGCTGACGAACTTCCCTCATACTTTCGTTAGAACGTTCAGTATCTACTCGACGAATTTCAACTCGGTCTTCTCGTTCTCGCCGATTTTCATTGCGACTTAATTCCATGTCATTAATAGCTTTTCGGGAATCAAATCGTCGTGTGTCGCGTTCGGTTTTATTCTCTCGTCGCGTGTCCATATTACGTTCGTTACGATTATGTATCTTTCGCTCTACTGATTGTCGCCTATTGTTATTCTCGCTTTGACGTGTTTCAAAACGCCGCTCTTCATTGCCATTGCGATTTTCCCGTTTTAATCCATTCTCAGTACGACGATTGAAAATTTGGCGATAATTTTCATAGTTATTATTATTTCTCTCATTTTCATTCCGTTCAGTAAGTCGGTCGTCGCGTTCGCTGAATTCGTTTCCCTCCTTGAGATTATTTAAATCCGATTTATTCTCATCGCGACGATAACGAACTTCACGATATCTCTCCATGTTACTGTCTCTTCGGTTGACTTGGCGTTCTCCTTCAATTCGTTGCTGAGCGCTAGATGTTCTTATACGGTTATCAGGGGAACGAGATTCTCTCATCTCCTGTGGTTGTCGCATTGTATCATCGAAGCGATCGGAAATTCGCTCTCGTTGCCTTTCGATACGATTTTCAATATCATCGTTGCTGATACGTTTCAGAAATTCATGGCTATTGTTATTGGTTGAGGTATGGTCAGCAGTTACTTCCCGTTTTAGGCCAACATCTCGTTCATAACAAAACTTTCGCTCACATGTTCGCGTTATATGTTGTCCAAAAATTGGCACCAAAAAAAGAAGGCCGACAACTGTTTTTAACTGCCACGGTTTTATAAACATATTTACGTTTACTATTTTGTTTGAAATATTTTTAGTTTTGATTCTATCGAAGTCTTGGACTTGACTGTTGTCGTACCAGCATTCCTATGGTCCTTTTATACTCAGAGATTCCTTGACGTTGTAGAATTTGTTGATTGGAATTAAATTGAACAAAATGTAATTTATTTTTTTTCTTATCGCACATGTACACCATGGTGAAGGATATCAAATCCCCTACATATACAATGTAGGTGTGTAAAAGCGTGTGTTTCACAAATTTTATGAATGAAAAGTGTGAATGAAATTCATTCATGCGAATTTTCTGTAAACAGTGACGTCATAGAATGTAGAGAATTTTATATACAATTTTTTACTGGACTGCTAATAAAATGTCATTTATAATCTTATTAAAGCAGTCAGTGGGAAAATGATTGATTAAGCAGATTGATACAAATTATATTTAAACGATTTTTACAGGTCTTTCGACAGGAGGTTAATAATCATTTTATAGAAAACCAATGAAGTTCTTATGGAATACAAGTACGTTTTCAACTTGTAAAAGTCTACTAGCTCTTGTCATGGAAGACGAATTGGTTTTCTCAAAGAATGTTGGCCTTCTCTTTTCATAGACCTAAATATGGTCTCGTAGAAACTAACACGACCCTTAAGTCTTCTCATACAAAACAAATATGTTCATATAAATACAAGAAAAAAAAGACCAGTTGGTCTTCATAAATACTAGAAGATCGGTATATCTTCATATAGAATACCGTAGATCTTCTTAGAGAAAACCAAGGCTGCTATATCTTCACAGAGAAGACTGATATATTTTCGCATAGAAGACTAGTAGGTCTTCATAAAGAAAACTAATAGTTTTTCCTATATATACCGGAAGACCTGGGTGTCTATGGAAGTACAGTCGAGTACGCTTATAACGAATACTGATTATAACGAACTTTTCTTATAGCGAACACATTTCCGGGTCCCGAAGTTTTAAGACATATTTTTCATACAAATCCTTACTCTAATAGTGAACTACGGATATAACGAACTATTTATTCGGTCCCAACATTCAGTTTTTATATATTTAACGAGGACAATCCTAACTAATGTAAATTGTCATCTGTAATTTGAGATTCATTAAAGAAAAGGAGAAGCATCTTAGAAAAATATATTTTTGTACTAAGCCTATATTTTGCCTTACTTTGAATATAACGAACTTCTTCTATAACGAAATAATTTGCTTGGTCCCTACGAGTTCGCTATAACCGTACTCGACTGTATTTCAGTATTTCTTTTTGTAGAGGACCAATCGACCTTCTTGTACAAGATAAATAGGTGTTATAGAAGACCAGTAAGCTTTATCAATAGCACTTCTTATAAATACCAGAAAACTTCTCATAGAAGACCAATATGAGAAAGACCTCATAGAAACCCAATAAGGAGTCCTTGCAAAATTATTCTTAAAAAATCCACACTTATGGTAGTCCTTGAAAAAATATTCTTTAAACCAGTAAAAACGATAATCAGTTTGGCCCGGCCGAATATTTTATATTCTCCACCATGAGAATGACAATAAAAATTTATAAAATTAATGGGGACTCATGTTATGAACAGACCTTTAACATACCCAAAAATACGTCAGAAACAGATAACTGAAATTCTCAAAGTATCTAATAGTTTGCCTATCGTTATATTGGACTATAATAAAATGGAGGTCAATATTGATATTTTTTGGGTAGTGAGACAGCCAATGAAAAAGTGTCAAAATTGCTCAAAATTTCATCTTCGGTCAGTATTAATCATTTTTAGTGTGCAGAATCAAAATACAAATTAGAGCCAATTTGATTGAAAAACGTGTCAAAAATGTGTTATTCAATCAGTACCCAAAATACCAAATTACAGCCAGGGAGATACCCTGAATCTTGGATTAATATTATTAATTATACCCTACACAACTATGTTGTCAGGGTATTATAGCTTTGTGCAGCCCCAAAAGTTTGTAACACCGCGAAATATTGTTCCTAGACCCGCCGATCGTCATATCTCGACTAGCTGAGTCGATCTAGACATGTGTGTCCGACCGTCCGTCCGTCTGTCCATTATAATTTGTAAACACGATACAGGCCACAGTTATGGACCAATCTTCACGAAATTTTGCATGTAGGATGGGTTCTGGCCAATGAAGGCGCCTATTGTTTTGGGGAAAGATCGGTTAATATTTAGGGGATGAAATGGACTAAATTTTTGTCGGTTTTTCTGGCCGCTCCAGAGGCCGCAATAATGGCCCGAACATCGTGAAATTTAGCATGGAGAAGGGGATCGGGCCAAAGAATAAGCTAGAGTAATAGCAATTTCTGTGCAAAATTTCAGAACTCATCTTAAATATTGTGCTCTATATTGTGATTTCAACAGACGGACAGACAGACGGGACATGCTTAAACGACATAGAATTTTATTATGATCAAGAATTTACACTGGTGGCCAAAACTAAAGCAACTGAAATTGCAAACTGAATAAATGACCTGTTTTTTTAAGAAATTCGTAGAAAAAAAAAACAATAATACAGTAGAAAACTAAACAGACCCAATTTTTGTTGGTCAAAACTAAAGAAACTTTCAAGATTTTGCTGGTAATCGCCATTATAACCATTATTTTTCATTACCGCAATACACTCAGAGGCCAATGAATCAATAAAATGCTCAATTTGATTTTTGGGTATACTATTCCTTGCATCCTGAACATTTGGGAAGAAGTTAGTTTGTTCACGAATCTCTTTTGATTTTGATATCTATGAACTCCAAAAATTTTTCTATGGGGTACAGATCTGATGATTGTGTTGGCCATTAAAAACCATGATTTTGACTGCCGCAACCAATCCCTAACATGTTTTGGAGGTTACTGTCATGCTGAAACGCCCAAACAAACGGTATATTTTCTTCGGCGAAGGGAACCATATCGTTATCCAATACATTCTTTATAAACAATCCGACCCATTACACTCCTCCATGCTTCCCAGTACCCTTGCAATACTGTGGCATGAGCCTTTAATTTTCAGAGTTCCTCCCAGTAATTGTTGTTCATGTCTGAGTCTTTAATATTTAATTTTAATTCATCCAAGAGCATAATATTTATCCACTGAGTCGGATTCCAATTATTCTTTTCAGAAATAAAATAACTTTCTTGATAGTTTCCGTGCATGTAGGCCTGCTACCATAGATCGTCCATGCTATTTTCTTGAGGTTATATCCAACGATAACCTTTTCACAAATTCCGTTGTACTCTTAAATGGGTATTTTTATAGCCTTCACCGCACTGTGGTATGGGTATTATGTCTTTGTGCATAGGTTTGTAACAGGCAAAAGGAAACGAGATAGACACATGGTTCCTTTTGAGAATATGCATAGAATAACTTTCTCAGTCGATTTACACATGTCCGTCCATGTATTTTTGTGAACAAAGTACAGGTCGCATTTATGATTCGATTTGGATTAAATTTGGCATAGGTCTCTTAATTGGCCCAAGGACGAACCCTATTGAAATTGGGAAAAAATGGTTCAGATTTAGATATAGCTCCCATATATATTTTCGTCCGATTTAATGTAAATAGTGCACCAAAGTCTCTATAAATCTTTCGATTTGCACGGAATTTAGGTAGTACAAAATGAAAAAATTCGCTGTTGCAAACATAAACCTACTGTGAAAAAATTTCATTTCGGGGAGGGCCCGGGCCGCCCCCCTGCGTACGTCCCTGGTTCCCATATATATTTTCGTCCGATTTAAGGTAAATGGTGTACCAAAGTCCCTTAATATCTTTCGGTTTGCACGAACTTTGGCACAGCGTAATGAATTAGGTCTAGAATGATGTGTGTTAAGTTTCCTGAAATCGTTTAAGATGTAGAGCTTCTATATCTGACCAAATTAAAAATTTAGTATCGGTTGCTGAATGACATGTTTATGAATCCAATTTCATTTTACTGGTCCTTTAAAAATGCGACGTCTGTTAGGATTTATCTGTTGAATATACCCAAAGTGGTGAAGGGTATCATATAGTCGGCCCCGTCCGACTTTACTACTTTCCTTACTGGTTTACTGCTATTACAATTTGTTGATCAGTACGAAGTGATGTTCCTTTGCAGACTTTCTCGGTGCTGAACTGTCACTACTGAAATAGTTGCATAAAATCAACTTGTAATTCAAGAAATCACTGATTTATTCGTGGAATATTTCTCCGAAATCATTTTCTGTGATAAATTATTTTCACAATCACTGGTAATTTGATCGGGGTACTGTATTTTTTTTCTAGCCATTTTTGTATTTTTTTGCAGTAAGTCAAAACTGAAAACCAGACACATTTTATTGTAATAAAATCCATTTAAAATTTTTCTATAAGAATCGAAATAGGTGTAATTGTAACGGTAAAAATAACTATAACTTTAGATGTTATCTGTGTGTATTGTAGAGTTGCTTTAGTTTTGTCCAAGCAAACAATTGAGACAATTCCCTAATCCATAAATTATTATTTATTTCATAGTGAATTTTGCATTAATGCCTTTGTGTTTAAAACTGAAAAAATTCTATTTCTATTTTTGAAAAGGTTTTGCGGCATTTATTAACCTTGTAATTTTAGTTGCTTTAGATTTGGCCCCCAGGGTATATACTTTGTGGGGTCTGCGGTGAATATTTCGAGTTTCTTCAAACGGAATGAAAAATTTAATATACCCTCCACCTTAAGGGTATATCGATCCACACTTACGGTAGTCCTTGAAAACATATTCTTTAAAAAAACCACACTTAGTCCTTGAAAAATAATCCTTTAAAAACCATGTTCTATAATTGCCGTTGAAAACGTATTCTTTAAAATATCCACGGCTTATAATATTCCATGAAAATATATTATGTAAAGAATCCACGTCCTATAATAGTCATTGAAACATATTCTTTTAAAAATCCAAGGCTTATTGTAGTCGTTGAACAAATATTCTTTAAAAAGCCCACTCCTTACAATAGTCGCTAAAAATATTTTTATATCCACGTTAAAAAAATAGTCTTTAAAAAATCCAATCCTGACAATATTGTTTAAAAAAAACATCCCATAAAATATTCATTGAAAATTTATTATTAATTTATATTTAATATTATAATTTCAATAAAACAAATTAATTTTTGATTATTGCATATTTTTTATAATATTTTTATTTGCATAAAATATGTATTTATTTATAACGATTAAATAAGGAATAACGTGTGTATATATGTATGTTGCTTTTGTTAAACTCGTTGCTCACAACTATTTTATTATTAGGGATAACATAATTGTTAGATAGCTGCTGATTTCACTTCTATTATATATTAATATATATTTCTTATATATGCATAGGTCTATATCATCTTTGCTTTTAGGTACACATTTGTTTCAGAATATTTTTGTTGCTTAAAAAACTAATAATTTCGACTAAAATAGAAATATATACAGTTTCAGTTTCATTGCCAGTTGTCTCATTAATCCATTGATATCGTTTGGTCCATTTTCAGTAACGCCTTAAAATCCCAAAACTCCCAAGCCTTCACGTAACTTTTGAGGTATATTTTGGTATCTGTAAATGAATTGAAGTTATTGGAATATCAATTTATATACGAATGGGAGCTTACTTCATTGCCATCTTTCCGCCTAGTGTTTGAGCCACAATGAAGGATAAAATAATCCCTTGGCCGAGCATTATGTATGACTTATTAAAGGAACCCAATGGCTTCTCCACAATGTCGTCTTCAATGTAGCGAATGTTGCGATATTCCAATCCTCTGATTTCATTCCTTCTATTTTCAGCTGATATACGTTCATAGCGATCACTTTCGCGGGAGTCTGCTCGTTGAATGCGTTCTTCATTGGTATCACGACGATTGTTCATTTCGCGAGTTTGACGAGATTCAACATCCATTGATCGTCGTAGTACATCTCGCTCGTTGCGTATGTCTGTGCGGTCAGTATCACGAGATTCAATTCGTCGGACATTAATTTCACGAATTCGTCGAGAATCAATTTCGATTGACCGATCAGTATTTCTATCCTCATAATCTTCCCTATTGCCTGCTCGTCGGTTTAAGAGATTCGTATCTTCTCGTCTTGATTCACGTTCTTGGCTTCTCGCCTCACGTTGGACGCGATCCTCACGAATAATATTGGATGAAATACCATTAGATAATCGTAAATCATCCTTCCGGCTGATACTTTCTGAGAGACGATCATGAATTTCACGACGGGAATGAATTCGATCATTGTTACTTCCACTGCGTGTTTCACGGTCTTTAATATTTTCATCACGTCGATTGCGAATTTCTCTATCGGATTGATTTTTAGAAGATTCTTGTCGCTGTGACTGTCGTTGATTTTCCCCTTCGGCAGTAACAAAACGACGTGTAGTTTCCCTTTCGCTGCTATATATCCTATTTTCATTGCGTCGATCCCTGACTACACGATTTAATTCACGAATTCTTTCGTTTGTACCAGCAAATCGCTGTGATTCAAATCGCCGAGTAGGTTCATTAGTTCGTTCCCTTTCTTCTCGCATAATTTCCATACGATCTTCCCTTGATTCACGAGGAGAATCTCGTGATGCATTTTCATCACGGCGGTGTCGAACTTCATTGGAGCGTAGTGATTCAGTCCTGCCTTCTCGTCTATCGTTACGTCGATCCAATATTTCTCGTCGACTATATCGTTGTGTGGCTTCATCCCTCCTTTCACTTCCTTCACGCCTGATGTCGATGCGATCTTCTTTCATTTGACGTTGATTATCTCGTACTGTATTGTCTGTGCTGTCATCACGGCGTTGTCGGACTTCGCGAATTCGATTATCTACATTTTCATTGGACCGTTCCGATTCTAATTGCTCTTCACGTCTTAGTCTATTTTCTACTTGGGTATTGTCACGGTCATTACGACGGTCTTCAACTCCACGTCGCCTTGAATCATCCCGCATTGTGTTTTCCCTTTTGTCATCTCGCCTTTGACGAATTTCACGCAATTCCACTCGTTCGTAGTTTTCCCTCTCTTGTAGCCTATTTTCCATTTCGTTATTGTCACGTTCATTACGTCGGTCTTCAACTTCACGAATTCGTTCGGTATCTGATCGTCGTGATTCAAATCGTCGTGTAATTTCTTCCCTGCGTTCTTGTATTTTCTGTCTATCTTCGCTACGTACATTACGAATTTCAGATCGCTGTGTTTCAACTCGGATTCTGCTGTCTATATTTCCATCACGCCTTTCTCGAACTTCATGTATGCGATCAGAAATATTTTCGCTGGACCATTCTCTTTCCTCTCGGATTTGTTCACGTCTATCGTCGTTACGTTCATCTAAAGTTTGAAGTCTCCTGTCGCTAATTCGGCGTGATTCCAGCCGCTCGTCATTATTATTATGCCTTTGGCGGACCTCACGAATTCGACTGGATTTATCAAAGCGGGAGCATTGTGATTCTAATCGGCCATAGTCTTTCATCTCCGTTAGCATATTTTCTATTTCGATATTGTCTCGCACAATACGGCGGTCTTCACCTTCACGAACTTGTTCAGTGACAGATCGTTGTGATTCAAGTCGTCGTGTGACTTCTTCCCTGCGTTCTCGTGTTTCCTGTCTGTCGCCATTACCTTCATCTCGGATTTCACGTTTCCTATCTTCAGTTCGCCGTGATTGAACTCGTAACCTGTCATCTTCGCGAACACGATTGGATCCATCTCTGGCGCTATCGATACGTTCATCTCGAATTTCACGTCGTGTATCGATATTTTGTTGTGATTCATCACGCCTTTCTCGGACTTCACGAACTCGATAGGATGCATTTTCATTGCGGTTTTCTTCTTGTCTCCTGTCGCTATTTCGCCGTGATTCAACTCGTAAAGCATTTTCGTTTCGTTCTTCGCGAATACGATTGGATTCATAGTATCTCACATTATTGTTACGTTCATCGCGCTGTGATTCAATTCGTAAAGTGTTATCTTTGTTTTCATCACGACGCTGACGAACTTCCCTCATACGTTCGTTAGAACGTTCAGTATCTACTCGACGAATTTCAGCTCGGTCTTCTCGCTCTCGCCTAGTATTGTCTCGCCGGTTTTCATGTGATTCAACTATTAGCCTGTTATCTTTATTTTCATCACGCCTTTCCCGGTCTTCACGAATTCGATCGGAAATGTTTTCATTACGGTCTTCCTCTCTTCTATCATCGTTACATGCATCTAGAGTTTCAGTTTTCCTGTCGTTATTTCGCCGTGATTCAACTCGTAAAGCATTTTCGTTTCGTTCTTCGCGAATACGATTGGATTCATCCATATTAGAGCGGCGGGATTCATAGTCTCTCGCATTATTGTTACGTTCACCGAGATGTGATTCAAATCGCAGAGCGCTCTCTTTGTTTTCATCACGCCGCTGACGAACTTCCCTCATACGTTCGTTAGAACGTTCAGTACCTACTCGACGAATTTCATCTCGTTCCTCTCGCTCTCGCATAGTATTGTCTCGCCGGTTTTCATTGCGACTTAATTCCATGTCGTTAATAGCTTTTCGGGAATTAAATCGTCGTGTGTCGTGTTCGGTTTTAATCTCTCGTCGTGTGTCCATATTACGTTCGTTACGATTTTGCATCTCTCGCTCTACTGATCGTTGCCTTTGAATGGCACGTGTTTCAAAACGCCGCTCTTCATTGTCATTACGATTTTCTCGTTCTAATCCATTCTCAGTACGACGATTGGAAAATCGGCGAGAATTTTCGGAGTCTGCAACAATATTTCTCGCAATTTCATTTCGTCGTTCAGTTTGATCAGCACGACGGTTCTCGCGCTCCCTGATTTCGTTTCTCTCATTGAGATTATTTAAATCAGATTTATTCTCGTCGCGACGATAACGAACTTCCCGATATCTCTCCATGTTACTGTCCCTTCGGTTGTCTTGGCGTTCTCGTTCAGCGCTAGATGTTCTTATACGGCTATCAAGGGAACGAGATTCTCTCGTCTCTTGTTGTTGCCGGATTGTATCATCGGAACGATCAGAAATTCGCTCTCGTTGTCTTTCAATACGATTTCCAATGACATCGTTATTAATATTTTTCAAAAATTCATTACGATTGTTATTGATTGAGGTATCGGATGTAGTTACTTCCCGCATGAGGCCAACATTTCGGTCATAACAAACCTCTCGTTCACATGTTCGGCGGGTTAGATGCTGTTGGCCAAAAATTGGCACCAACAATAGTAGGCTGAAAGCAGCTTTTAACTGCCAAGAGCCAAACAACATTTTCACTTGTAAGGCTTTGTTTAACTGTTCTCTGGCTTCCTTGGTTTTGAACTTTAGAAAAATTCTAGTTAATTTCTGAACTTTCTATTGACTTGGATAAGTTTTCGTATTGAGTTTCTCCGCGTGGTTACTTTCGTTATATTCGATTTGTTTCGTTCGAAGTCGCTGTAGTGACTGATGTCCTGCTAGGCTTTCGCAGCTCCTTTTATACTCATAAATAAAGGATGTTTCTATCGTTTCTCATTTTTTTATTGAATTTCAATTAAATAAAAATCTGATTTATTTCTATTCCTTATCGAACAGGCACACTATGCTGCAGGACATGGTAACATTTATCCCGCATCCTTTATTTGTGTTATATGCTTCAACGAATTTATATTGTTGTTCGTTTTTTTCCTTCGTTTCACACTTTTCATGAATGCAATTTCGTTCGCACAATGAAATTCATTGATAAGAATTTTCTCACTTGCGTGTGACGTCATTGTCTGTTGTCTGGCACAGAATGAATGGATTGGCTTGACTTCATAGAAAAACATGGGTGAAGGGGTATTAAGTGGTATTAAGGACCAATAGAAGGCGTGGATTTTATCTATACTAATAAAAGAGTAAAGTGATTGACTGACTGACTGATTGACTGACTGACTGATTGACTGACTGATTTAACGATTCATCAACGCCCAGACGAAACGGCTGAAGCTAGAATCTTGAAATTTTGGGTGAGGGTCACTCTTGGCCCAAATGTGACAGATAAGGCTGGGTTTTTGGAAATTCGTATTAGAAGGGTACGAAAAGTACTAAAAAGTACTAAATATGATATCATTTGTATTTGGCGAACCAGTAGAGCTAGAACTCTGAAATTTGGATTGAGGGTCACTGATGGAGTGTAGGATAGATGTACCAAAGGGTTTTAGGAAATTCGAACTACAACTATCCGAAATGTACGAAAATGTACTAAATTTGGTACAATTCTGTAGAATGAGAACGGATAGAGCTAAAAACTTGAAATTTGGAATGCGAATTAGGGTTGGGAAGTAGGGTCGATATAAGGAGATGGTTTTGAAACCGTGTACTCATGTGTACGAAAAGTACTATATGGTACTATATTTGGTACAAATTTGATTTGGAGGTACAAATGGAGCTAGAATCCTGAAAATTTAAAGTAACATTACCGTCGGAGTATAGGATTGTGATATGTACGTAGTTTTGGAAATTTGTTACTTATGTGTACGAAAAGTACTAAATCGTACTATAATTGGTACAATTTGGATTTGGGTGAACCGATAGAGCTGAAACAATGAAATTTGGATCATTGTAGGGGTGTAGGATTGGGGTCAGGACTCAGTTTAAGACAATATTACTTATGGGTACTAAATGGTACTAAATTTGGTACAATTTGAATTTTAGGTGAACCAATTGAGCTAGAAGCATAAAACTTGGAGTCAGGATCACTGTCGAGGTGTAAGATTGAGATATGTGAGAAGTTTTAAAATTTTGTACTAATGTGTACTAAATTTGGTACAATTTAAATTGTGGGTGAACCGATGGAATTGGAATCCTCAAACTTGGATTTAGGATCACTGTGGGGGTGTTGGTTTGAGTTAAGTAGGAAGTTTTGGAAATTCGTACAACTGTGTACTAAATTTGGTACAATTTGAATTGTGGGTGAACCGATAGAGTTGGAATCCTGAAATTTAGATTTTGGAGCACTGTGGGGGTGTTGGTTTGGGTTAAGTTTGAAGTTTTTGAAATTCGTAGTAAATGGTACTAAATTTGGTACAATTTGAATTTTAGAGCTAGAATCATGAAATTTGAAGTCAGGATCACTGTTGAGGTGTAAGATTGAAATATGTAGGAAGTTTTCGAAATTTGTACTAATGTGTACTAAATTTGGAACAACTAAATTGTGGGTAAACCGATAAAGTTGAAATCATGAAATTTTGATTTAGGATCACTGCGGGGGTATAGGGTTTGGGTATATAGGAAGTTTTAAAAATTTGTTCTAAGTGTACCAAATTCGGTACAATTAAAATTGTGGGTGAAGCGATAAAGTTTGAATCCTGAAATTTTGATTTAGGATCACTGGGGAGGTGTAGGATTGGAGTATGTAGGAAAATTTGGAAATTGGTACTAATGTGTACTAAATTTGGTACAATTTGAATTGTGGGTGCAATCTTGAAATTTTGATTTAGGAACAATGTGGAGGTGTACGATTGGGGTATGCAGGATGTTTTGGAAATTGGTACTACTGTGTACTAAATTTGGTACAATTTTAATTGTTGGTGAACCGATGGAGTTGGAGTCCTGAAATTTTGATTTAGGATCACCGTAGGATTGATTTAGGGTATGTAGGAAGTTTTGGAAATTGGTACTATTATGTACTAAATTTAGTACAATTTGATTATTAAGATTTTATCTAATTCATGATTTTAATTGGATTGCATGATGTAGGTAGTAATGGAAATTTTTACTTATGTGTTCTAAGTGGTACTAAATGTGATACAAATTTAGGTGAAGCGATAGAGTCCAGAAATTTGGAATTAAGATTGGGGTATGTGGGAAGTGTTTGAAACTCGTACTTATGATTTTTAAAGTACTTATGATTGTTGATGTGCACTAAATGATACTCAATTTGGATTTGGGTGAATCTATATTTGTTTTGAAAACATACTATGTCAGAAAATACGTACAAAATGGTTCTAAAATAGGGTTTTAAATACATCCCACATTCGCTAACGAAGTAGCGGGTATATGCTAGTAATGAATATTTTTTCAAGGACCAATACAAGGCGTGGATTTTTTAAAGAATATTTTTTCAAGGACCAATACAAGGCGTCGATTTTTTAAAGAATATTTTTTCAAGGACCAATACAAGGCGTCGATTTTTTAAAGATTATTTTTTAGGGACCACTAAAAGGCGTGGATTTTTTAAAGAATATTTTTTAGGGACCACTACAAGGCGTGGATTTTTTAAAGAATAGTTTTTCAAGGACCAATACAAGGCGTGGAATTTTTAAAGAATAGTTTTTCAAGGACCAATACAAGGCGTGGAATTTTTAAAGAATAGTTTTTCAAGGACCAATACAAGGCGTGGATCTTTTAAAGAATATTTTTTCAAGGACCAATACAAGGCATGG